ATCAGTTTCAGCAGCAGCTGAATCTGGATGCCAGTTCCGACTTACATACAGATTCAACTTAGGGACTGTAGGTTTGTTCTTATCTTGTACGTAACCCGGGGACTGCCTGTAGTTAAATATGGGATAGTCAAAAGATACCACTGATAAGGGCTTCTGCATCTGTCCTGCTCACTCACTGCTTCTATCTTGTGTTTTGGTTTCCTCTTCCATCACCTTGTGAGTATGTGGGTTTTATTTAAAAAACAAAAAAAAAAAACCTCCTCCTGAATTGCTGCAACCTATACTTCTACTGAAGTACCAAGTAGTTTTCCCATATTTATTCACTTGCCTCTCCCATACAGGTCTCAATAGCTAATGTAATCTTTATTTTAAATTGCATTGGCCATGTAAAACTACTTTTTTTTTCTCAAATTGGGTTACGAGTTAAACAAAACCTGTCTCCAGATGCTCTTCCTAGAGGGAGAGAGGAGGCTGTTAGCCACACATGGAAAAATTGTGTCTGAAAGATTAACTTGGGTAAATCGATGCCAGAACTGCATATCCATGAATCTTAAGCAAGTTTAAATATAAAGGGAAGGTGCTTCATATTGGCTCTGCCATTGGAGGAAAACTTTAATCAGTACAGTATTACCAGTATAATAGAAAATTCTTTAGTGCTTCTGACAAGGTATAATGTACTGAAGAGGAAATGATTATTTGACCTTCATGGAGATACTGAGAATAAAAAAAAACTACTTGTGACGTTCAGGATACAGTTACTTATAAATTGGACACTTGTGCCCTTACCAAGAACCAACTTCCATTTTTGGTTGCTGATGCAATACTTTTGTCGTATAAGAATTATACAAGCCATTAATGGTTAAGTGTCAAATCTAGCCTGAAAATAGAATGAATCTGAAGCTCAACGCTCCAGTGTTGGGAGGATAATCTTGGAGTACCTCCTTGATATAACTCCCCCATGCATTGAACGCTTCCTTCACAGTAGATTCCATGCTTTTGACTCTTTGGAAGTGGTAATCAACATAACTGACAGATTGTGCCTGCATTTCACGCTCTTGTTTCTCTCCTGTCTAGTGACTTACGCAGTTAAAGGTTCACAATGCAGGTGCTCAAATATTACCTTTATATTATGAGATCTGAGTAAGTGAGATTAGACTTCTAACTGAAAGCTTTAAGTTGCTGCATGCATTAAACACTGAGCTCACTCCAACTCCTCTTACCTATTTTAACAACATTGACTCATACGAACCAGACTGACTCCAGCAATACATTTGTTATATTCTAGTGATGCACGGAGACCTTAACATCAGCTAGCACCTGTTTTACCAGCATCACGTTAAACACTTTACTACTAAATTGGCATGGTCAAAGTATAGCGCTCCCCCAGCCAAGAGCCTCTGCTGGACTTCAGATTGTCTCTTTACTACACACCTTCTCACTTATCAAATAAAGTTAGTATTGAGAGGTGCTAGGGATTGCCAGTCAATAGGAAAATATGTCTGTAATATAGGAAAAAAATCACTGGTGTATGGGAAAGAGGGGTATGTGTTCTGGGGAATGACTGCAATGGAAAAGGAATACTTATTAGGCCACCTAGGTCTGGAATCCTGGAGGACCTGACATTTTTCTGTACTTAGACACTTTTCACCTCTAAAAATCAGATTCCTAATTCCCAGGTTTCCAGAAGATTGATTGTAAGGTTATTTCTAACTAAAAGTAAGCAAATATTTTTAAATCACACAATTAAGGAATTATAGTTTTTAATATCTATTTTATGCTGCTAAACATCCACTCTGAAATCCTCTTTTCACACTCCCCCTCCCCTCCTTTCTGGAGATCTAGCTGAAATCTATCCCAGCAAATTTGGACTTTTTTCTCTTTAAGGTCTTTTTTTCTCTTAAGTACTAACACTGGTACCCCTCTGAAGATTTTAGCTCTCACTCTTAGTTTATGCATTTTTCACACTGAACCATCTGGATCTCCAAATATTACTGAGTCTCACTAACCCAATCCTCATTTAATGGCACAGCTGGAGCAGATTATTCAGACTCACACCCCAGAATGAATCTGTTCATGGAGGCAAAGTAGACATCCATACAACCGTCCTCATTTACTGCAGTATTTTCAGTGCTTGAGCATGCTAGAGATAAAACACTATATTAGAAATTTAGGGAAGAGGCTGACTTCAGCGTGAAAACTTAAAAGTTCTTGGAAGCCTCTTTGGTTTGAGTATAATAATGGAAGGTATTTCTTAATTACTGGATCATAATGAGACTTGTCCTTTCCTAACTCTGAAATTAGCTTTGTTATCAAGGAAACAATGGGACTCTAAAGTACAGATCCACTTCTGTTTTTTTTTTTAAGGCAATGGCACTATCAGTTTTCCTGAGTTCTTGACCATGATGGCCAGAAAAATGAAGGACACCGACAGCGAGGAAGAAATCCGTGAGGCATTCCGAGTCTTTGACAAGGTACTTCTAGAATCCAAAGCTGCAGACCAACTTTTGAACTGTTCTTATTGATGAGCATCTTTCTCCTGGCACTGCTGTGAGTGCTTGCCTTGGAGAAGGGCTTACACCCACCTTTCAGCAGCAGGAAGAGAACTTCTTTGGATATTATAAAATAAGTTTGCTGAAACTGCTTGTCCAGGAGCTTGGAGGGGGCTTAGGCAGTTTCTTTCATACCAGAATTCTTGGTAGGTCTTCTCTTAAGGCAGTGGAATTATTAGACTTGATAACATTTCTGATATTGAAAATCAGTTCCATTCCCCTCTCCCCGCCCCCCACCTGATGACATCAGCAAAGTGCCTGAAAACAGATGTGGAGGGTTTTGCACAGCTTTATGAAAACTTATAAAGGGAGATCACCTGCTCAACTTCTAACATGTATGAGGAGGTGAAGCTTAACCGCCTCTGCATTCAGGTTGTTGGGCTTGAAGCTGCTTATGAGACGCTTGTTACCAAAAGCAGAGGCTCTCCATTTTTTAAGGACAGACATAAGCACAAGAACATCCTCTTTCCTCTACTTGCTAGAGGGCATGTTTTTTTTACCTTTGATTTGTGTAAGATAACATCTTTACAGATCTCCTCACATCACTCTACTTAACAGGACCACCTGAAGATGGCTGTAGCTAGTAAACTACATAATTAACCCAAATCCAGAAAGGTTTCTGTCCACTAACCCAAGTAAGGGGGACACTGGAGAAGGCCAGCTTTAAGTCCCCTTCCGCAATTTTAGCTTGTAGGTGGAGTTGGGATGATTTTTGAACATGCTTTATGTACTCTAGACCTTATTACCCAGAAAACCTCTTCAGGCAAACCAGCAGTTGAAGATGTGATGCTATAAGAGGTTAACTTGCTGCTCTTTCCTTCTGTTGCCAGGTGGAATTAAGTTATTGCCCACATGTAGGGCTGACATACTGAAATTAAAAAAAAAATTACAATTCTGGTCTCTGGTATCCTGGAGACATTTAGAAAGTCTCTGGTAGCATTCTGAACATTAAGAACCACACCGCCAAACTAGTACATATGGTGTTTTCACTTTTGTTCTGGAACATAGTCTTCCTCATATAATGCCTACATCCTCTGTGCCTTAGAAGGCATGGCTATAACCGTCTCTTGTACCGTGCATGACACCTCCAGGCTGGGTACTAATTCTCCAAGGTGCCATGAGGCATCAATAACCAAGTTCAAAGCCAGCTCCTGGAGACCTGAGTTAATAGAACAATCTCAGCTAAGGTCTGTGTTCCAGTCTTCTGACTTGTCATATGCAAATATCTTCACAGGATGGCAATGGTTATATCAGTGCAGCAGAACTACGTCATGTTATGACAAACTTAGGAGAAAAGCTAACAGATGAAGAAGTAGATGAAATGATCAGAGAAGCAGATATTGATGGAGATGGACAAGTGAACTATGAAGGTAGAAAAAGATGCTCTTGTTCTGTTTTGTGCATTTACTTAGAATTTCATAAGTCAAGTTGGTTGGGTCTCCTGTAAATCGAGTAATGTAGTGTTAAACTAACAATTCACTAAGCTGTCTACTTTGAACAAAAACTTGATTAGAGTACTCTTTAGATTTTAGATGCACTGCACATTTATACTAAGTGCAGTTAAGAGACTTCCTTATGAAGTTAAAATTCCATTGAAGATGCAAAAAGTCACAGTGGTTTTTATCTTTTCAGAATTCGTACAGATGATGACCGCAAAATGAAGACCTCCTTTCACCTTTTTTCCCCTCTAGAAGAATCAAATTGAATCTTTTACTTACCTCTTGCAAAAAAATGTTCATTTATTCATTCTGTTTCTGTATAGCAAAACTGAATGTCAAAATACCTTCTGTCCACAAACTGCATGTAATGGTTGGTGGTCCTGTCCCCAAAAGATCAAGTTAAACATCAGTTTTACAATATAAGTAATTGTACTACCTTGAAATAAGGAAGCACTTAGAACTCCTCAAAAGTTCCATTTGCAGATGACTATTACACTGTTTGGGCTGGCCAGTTTTTCATGCATGCAGCTTGACAATTGAGCACAGTCAGACATTTGTATCTAATAAAAACAAAACCTAAAAAATCCACTCTTGTCCAACTGTGGATTATAGCTCAATTTGTAGTGTAAATTGTCATAGCTGGTTTACTTTAAAATTGGTTTACCTCAGGATGGTATGCAGCAAAAAGTCAAAGGATGCAAAATTTTAAAGAAAATGCCCTAAAGATTGAGTGGTTCTCCTGTATGTAGCATTGTGCTCCAAAAAAAAAAAAGACTATCTTAATTATGGGTGGCATGTCTGTTTATAATATTGGTTTAACATTGTCTGCATTGCACTATAGTGAAACGGGTGTCAGGCTGTTACCGTTCACAAAATTTTTAAAAAAAACTTTCACCAAGGGAGCATCTTTGGACTCTCTCCTATTTTTAAAACCTTCTATACCATGACTTGGAGCTGGCAGAGTAGCCTGTGGACTTCAGCACAACTATCAACATCGCTGTTCGAGCTATTACAGTTTATGTCCATTCCAAGTTGTAAATGCTAGTCTTTTTTCCAATAAAAGACCATTAATTTAAAGGTGGTGGTAAATGCTTTGTAAAGCTGACTTGTATATAAATTGAGACACTAAACCAAAAAGCAGTAGGAAGGAAGTGTTTTTTTTATGAATGACTTGCTGCTAAATTATAATGCACATGTATGCAATAACTTATCCCATATCTCTTCAAGATGGCAAGGACTGACCTCTTGTAACCCAAGACCTTTGCTATAAATAAATGAACTTGTGCTTGCCTTTCATATCATGACAATGTTAATTTAGTTGGTGTCAAACTAGTGTAATGCTGACTACAACTATCTGTAGACACAATGCTTCATTTCATTAAAATGGAGTGCTGTTAGCCTAAGAGCTAGCAATAGGCTCTAGCAGCAGGTGTCTTATCTACATCTTACTAAAATCTATGTTGAAGCTTAGACAGCTGACAGTCTATGCCAACACAACTGGGTGGACAGGAAGGAATCCAAGACTTATGCTTCATAAAGGGGAGAGGGCAAAAGAAAACTTGGGTGCACTCCAGTAAGCAAAGTACAGCCAAAGGACCTAGTAAATGTGGGTTGGGGGGGGGTTGTGTTTGGTTGTGTGTTTGTTTTAAAAAGCTAGAACTGCTGTCTTGGCTGACTCAAATATTGCTACATCAATTTCACCTGTCAAACAACTTGGCAGTACTGCTCTGCATGTAGCAAGAGTTCTTAGTCACTTCAGTTCTGCAAAGTAGCTTTCTCTATTGTTCATAATGAAGTTGAAGGGCTGCAAAGCAGCCCTATCTACCAGCTCAAAGAATGCTTTTAACTTGACTGCCTCCATTTCAGATGTTTTTTGTGCTCCATTGAGGGGAGGGAGTCCTTGGATCCTTAATTTTAATATTTTCCATGTTGATGGGCTTTTAAATGCTAATTCAAGGCATAGTGTGGCAATGCTATTCCTGGGAGAAACGAGTTATGTCAGTGTAGCTTTAGGTGTTTTCCACCTATATTGAACTAATACAGCCTTTAAGGAAATGTGATACTCTGCAATAGCCATGTGGTTCTAATCAACTCTACTGTGTAAAGCCCCTGTGGATTGTATTTTTTTATTGAATTGCATAAAGTATCTCTCAACTACTAATTTGAAGCGGGTGGGGTATTTTCTTAAAGAATGACTGCTGTACTGGTAAACACACTAGGTATTAACTTAACGCTTGCTCGCAAAGACTTCAGCTCTGAGTAGTCCCTAATTTGATTAGACACACTTTGGCAATGTTGACATGTCCTGAATCCTGTTTTGGCTGCAGTAGCATGTCTACTCTGCAACTGGGCATGGGCCTCCACCCATGGTAGACAGACTTGTGCTATCAGGGCTCAAGCTAGTACACTGAAAATAAGAGTGTCTGTGTTGCAATGTAGGTAGTAACTTGGGCTGTCAAGGACACCTATCCCTTCCCTATACATGTGTGTCTCACTCTCCTCTCCTTCCCCCCCTCCTCCCACCTCCAAGATCAGAGCTCAAATGGCTAGCCTGAGTTTCTGCTGGAACTGCAACAGGTGCTTGATTCTTAGTATGCTAGCTTAAGCCTGGCTAATGCGAGTCTGTGTACAACTTCAATGCAACATTAACTTACAGTAAGTTTCCTCTTTCTACAGCAAGTTGGATTTTTAGTATTGCTGTGCTATATGGTAGGAAACTTGAAGAAACAAAGTTAGTGTCTTTTTTTCCAAAGCTGGCATAAAGTAGGTGGTTAAACACTAGCTAACTTTTAGTCCATCGTTAAAACCAACTGTTTCTATCTCCAATTTGTTGCTTTAGCTATGAAATAGGGTGTGGGGGGAGGGGAGAAACCAGGCATACTTTGATAGCCACTAGCTACAGGGCCCACTTCCTTATCAGATGTTATTTGAAGTACTTCCAGCCAAGTGTTGCATTTTTACAATGCCCACAGAAAAGATAGCATTAAGTTTCACTAAGCAGATATGAGAATAGCCATACTAAGTCAGACCTCTAGTCCATCTAGCTTATTATTCTGTCTTCTGACAATGGCCAATACTAGGTGCTTCAGAGAAAATTACCAGAACATGTAATCAAGTGATCTATCCTGCTGCCATTCCCAGCTTCTGGCAAATAGAAGCTAGGGACACCAACCCCTACCCATTTTAGCTTAAATCCATTGATAGTCCTATTGTCTGAACTTAACCTAGTTTAAAAAACAAACAAAAAACTTGTTATAGTTTTGGCCTTCACAACATCCTCTGTTCTGAAAGAATGCCACACATTGACTCTGTATTGTGTGAAGAAATACTTTGTTTTAAACCTGCTGCCTATTAATTTCATTGGTTAACCTCTAGTGCTTCTCACATTCTCCACATATGTAATGATTCTATAGACCTCCCTCATATCCCCTCAATCATTTCTTTACAAGCTGAAAAGTCCCTGTCTTCTATGTCTCTCCTCAGGTGGAAGCTGTTCTATATTCAAAATCATTTTTTGGTGCCCTGATTTGTACCAAATGGCTGTGTCTAGACTGGCCAATTTTTCCGGAAAATCAGCTGCTTTTCCGGAAAAACTTGCCAGCTGTCTACACTGGCCACTTGAATTTCCGCAAAAGCACGGACAATCTCATGTAAGATTGTCTGTGCTTTTGCGGAAATACTATGCTGCTCCCGTTTGGGCAAAAGTCTTTTTCCGAAAAACTTTTGCGCAAAAGGGCCAGTGTAAACAGCAGAGATTTGTTTTCCGCAAAAAAGCCCCGATCGCAAAAATGGTGATCGGGGCTTTTTTTTTTTTTTTTTCAGAAAAACGAATCTAGATTGGCCACGGATGCTTTTCTGCAAAAAGTGCTTTTGCGGAAAAGCGTCCTGCCAATCTAGATGCGCTTTTCCGAAAATGCTTTTAACAGAAAACTTTTCCATTAAAAGCATTGCCGGAAAATCATGCCAGTGTAGACGTAGCCCTTCTGATTCTAATATCTTTAAAGGGAGTGACCAGATCCATACATAATATTCAAGAAAGTGGGCACACCATGGATTTATACAGAGGCAGTATATTTTCTCTTTTATCTATTCCTTTTCTAACTGCCAGCATTCTGTAAGCTGTGTGTACTTAACCTTTTTAAATTGGGAGGTTGGACATTTAGGGCAAGTCTACATTAGGAAATTATTTCAAAATACTGCAACTCCCAGATAATTGTTTTGAAATAGTAGGTCCACATGACAGAAAATCCTCTAAATTAGTCTTGAGTCAGGCTCCCGTATGTAGCCATGCTACCTTGACTTAGAACCCCAGGAAGCACTATGGAGTAATTACTTTGAATGACTCTGGGGAGTAGTTCTTTTGAAATAGCATCAGTGGAACGTCTCTACTACCCCTATTTTGAAATAAGCATTATTCCTTGTGGAAAGCAGGAGCTTTTTTAAAATAACCAGCCCCTTATTTTGAGATAACAGGCTTGGTAGTGTGAATACTCTGCTTATTATTTCGAAATAACTCCCTAGTGTAGACCAGGGCTAAATTCCAAATATTTATTTCTAAAATACATTTAAGCAGAAATCACAATGTATAGCATACTGAGTCTAATATTTAACATTTAAGAGCCAAAATAATGCCACAGTTAAGCCAAACAGGCTTTTTTTAAAAGTGAGCAAAGTCTAAACTGCTATTTAGGGCCAGACAATGCAATAAAAAGGTCATAAATAAGGCCTCTGGCATAGGGATATAAAATTTCAATTAATTGGCTAATTGACTAGTTGATGCAATTTGCATTGACTATTCAATTAATCTATAAGGGCACCTCTGCCACTTCAAAAGCACTGTGGGGAGCATGGGGCCAGCGGGGAACTCAAGCAGTCCCCAGTTGGCCCCATGGCATTTCAAAGCAGCAGCACTGCAGGGGCTCCATGCGGAGCTATTGCTTTGAAATGCCGAGGGGAGTCCCCAGTTGACCCTGGGCTCCACAAGACAATGCCACTTTGAAACGTTGTGTGCAGCTCAGGGACATATCCGGGTACTCCCCCTCCTCCCCCCCCCGCCTCTTTCTGATAGCAGTCAACTAACATGTCAAGTATCCAATAGGCATTTGCTTATTGGATAGTTGACTAGTCTACTAGTCGTTCACATCCCTACTCTGGCAATATGAAAACAAAATTTTTGTCAAGACAATTTCTATAGAAGGTATCTGTAATAAGCAAACATACTTGCCTTTTATATTAATTGAATTCCCACACCCTCAACTATTTCATTCAAATACAAGGGCAATATAACAAAATAACTGATTATGCAAATTTTGATTAAATTTTTTCCCTCTGAAGTTGTGATAGTGGAGGGATTTTTGAATAGTCAGTCATCAACTTTTGGCCTCTCTGGATAGGTGAAACACGTGTAAAGTACTGTAGTTGTAAATTCTAATGGCTTGTCTTCACATACAGTGCTACTGGGGTGCAACTCCAATACTTACTTACTCTGGTGCAATGGATTCTCCCACTGGTGTAAATAATGTGCCTCCCTGAGGGTGCATCTAGACTGAAGGTGCTTTTTTTAAAAAATGGCTATTTTTCAAAAAAAACCCTTCACTTACGTCCACACTATTATTGCGTTCTTTTGAAAGAAAATTGAAAGAATACAGAGGTTTTTCCAACACTGGTAAACCTCATTCTATGAGGAAGAATGCCTTTTCTGAAAGATTTCTTTTGGAAAAAGATGTATGTGGACATAGAAGAGGGAGATTTTTTCAAAAGAAGAGGTCTCCAGGAAAAAGCACAGGTGCCCTAGTGGCCATTCCACCCATAGTTATCACAGCTTATGTGCAAGACCTTGTCTAATGAGTGTGGACAATCTCTTTCGAAAAAGCAGATCACATTTTTGATCCGCTTTTGAAGAAGATTTTTTGGAAGATCTTGACCGAAAAAGGTTCTTTCGAAAGAAGCTTGCAGTCTAGATGTGCCCTGAGAGGCAATAGATAGCTACATCAACAGAAGAATTCTTCCATCCACCTAGTACCGTCTACGCAGAGCTTTAGCTTGGCTTACAGATACCTCTCAATACTTGGATTTTTCACAGTCCTGAGGAATGGAGTAAAACTGACCTAATTTTCTAATGTAGGGTAGGCTTATGAGAAAATTCTTCTCAGATATAAAGCAAACTTTTTGTTCCTGTCAATTTGAGCAGAGTGGTGTAAGATAAATACAGGAAAATCTTTATTTAAGATGAAGCAAGCAACATAAGGAAGGGTTGGACCTGGAATGAACTAATCCCCAGACCAGCCAGGGGGAAG